TTAGGTTCAAATCTTGAAAATGAGAAGTGATTATCTTTCATTAAGTTCAAATTTTTAGTTCTTATGTCTTTTCAACTGAATTGGAGATTAAATTTTATTATCAGCAAATCATCAAGAAGACCAAACTTCATCAGTGATATAATTAGGTTCTACTTCCTCACCTGCAATGGTTCCTCTGAGAGTGTTTCAACCAAAGCCTGTGCATCATTGCACCACAGATAAAGTGTCTCTCATCATTAATTAATTACCAAAAACATTATAACAAGAGACAGAAGTGCAAGGATATCGAAGCTGACAAATAATATTATTGAAGACAACAGCTTTAAGAGCAGTGCTCGAACTTAAACTATATGTTATACAAACTGAGCAGCAATTATCTTCCTATATATTTTACAATTAACTATGGATTCTACAATGAGCATGGACTAAGATCGAGAAATAGGAATTGTGGAACAATGTCTCATGCTTCTGCAGATTGTAATGCTGCATTAACACTATTAGTACGAGAATTCAATGGCATGATAATTTCTAGCCCTGATAATTTGTCAAAGACAGTGAAATTAGCACTTTATTCTTTCAGCATACCAATTTCTTCTTTGAGGGTGTCATATAAACTCTCAGTAAGATTGAGCAGGAATGCATCTGAACCATGTTTTGCCACCAGGGAAATTGCCACAGGAACATTATCATGCATCCCTAGAGGTATGCTGACCTGTAGAGAACAGATACTAACACATTTCAAAATCCATACCAATGAAAAAGAGGAAAAATGGGAAAAAAAAAACTTGTAGGATTTTCAAGTTTGAACCTGACAGAATCCAGACACTCCAGCAATGGACAACAAGCTAAAAGGCCTAGAAAAAATAAATCCAATGTGGCTGGATTTGCTTGCACTTTTGGTGGTTCCCCTGGTGTTGTTGGAGAGCAAGGACGCCATGATCCTAAAAGAGTCCATTTAAGTAGAGTGATTTATAAGAAATGAGTAACTTAATATGAATAATTTTTCTTTTTTTCTTTTTCCATAGTAGCTAGGTCATAACTTTTCTATATTCATGCAATGCGTAAGACATCCAGAAGAACATTTGCCTGTTATCATTAATCAAAGACAGGTTTAGTCATAGGAGAGATTTGTTTGAATCAGCATAATGTTTGACTAACAAAACATTTACAATGAAAGGAACAGAGACTACCCCAAGCAGAGCTGTAAGTGCAGCACGTAATTCGGTCCTGACAGAGTGGCAGAAATCAATATTTTCTCCTGTTACTTTAATGGCATCCCATATCCGCTCAGATATTTCTGGACCAAAATCCGGATTCACTTTGGTGACCCATTCAGCATGGTTATTCTTAAATTCATACCTACAGTAGTTGAACTTAGTAATAATGCTTATATACATGATCTTGGATCATATGAAAATCACCATGCAGGCATACTAGAAAGTTTCAAGATGTTTGGCACCTTTGAAGTAATCGCATTGAACTTGAAAGGGCTGCCAAGGCTGGTGGTATATCATCCTCTTGGTCTTCGTTTACCTTATGTATGAAATGCTGCAAACTTGGTACTTTGTCCTTCACATAGTCTCCAAGGATTACATGCTTTACACATTGACCTGCACTTGCAAATCCATAAAAGTGAGATCCGACTTATTGAGAAGCAACCGGCTTTCAGTACCAAAGCGATGTTGGTCCCAAATGCAGCAAAGTACCTCAGATGGCATATTTAACGGGACAAGATCTATCTTAATATCAGATACATGAAAAGAGACATTGTTAATGAGTCATTTTCTGACAGATCACTGTAAATTCAAAAAATGCAATTCTGGATGCCCTCTAAGCCTAAAAAATTACCACATATTGTTATTCAAGCCAAGCCAAAGAACAAGCTTTCAAAGTAAGGCCAGTTAACAAAGTTTGCAGAAGGCTATGGTATAATTACTTTCCTCCAAAGAGCTTCTCAATTGACTTTACAAGAACTTGGGCTGTTCGATCACTTGGAACACTAGATAGGCGGAAACAATCATCTGGAATTATAATCTGACTTGGTTTGATAGGATCCACATCAGGTAAATGCAGAAGAACACGTCCAACATGGTTTAAAATCACAGGGTCCCGAGCAAACCATCCTAAATGAGAATTCAGAGTCAAAACAATGATACCAAATTAAGGCTCTACCAGTTATGTGGTTCTGAAATAAAGTATAGATGAAAATAGTTATTAGTGCTGTCTGGTTTCATTGGTAAAAGATATTTGCTATTATACTTTATCAAAAAGCTAAAATTTCTGAGGACATGCTTGAGAGAAAAAAAGAAAAACCGAGGAAAATATTGTTCACAAGTTAATATGTTTGGTCCATAAATTTGTTGACTTTGAACTGTGTTAAACATTGCAGGTAATCAAGATTAAACAATAATCTTGATATTAGGCTTTTCCAAGTGTACTTCTATGGTCATCAGAATTAAAATTTCTCTTATGTACATTTCAAAAAAGGTGCAATCAGATTTAGCCCTTACCCACAGTATCAAAACTCTGTGACATAGGAACAACTCCTACAGTAGAGATGGCACCAAGTGAAGGCCGAAATCCAAGAATTCCACAATATGATGCAGGGACTCTTACACTTGCTCCAGTGTCAACCGAGGAAAATATTGTTCACAAGTTAATATGTTTGGTCCATAAATTTGTTGACTTTGAACTGTGTTTAAACATTGCAGGTAATCAAGATTAAACAATAATCTTGATATTAGGCTTTTCCAAGTGTACTTCTATGGTCATCAGAATTAAAATTTCTCTTATGTACATTTCAAAAAAGGTGCCATCAGATTTAGCCCTTACCCACAGTATCAAGGAACAACTCCTACAGTAGAGATGGCACCAAGTGAAGGCCGAAATCCAAGAATTCCACAATATGATGCAGGGACTCTTACACTTGCTCCAGTGTCAGTTCCTATGTTAGAAATGAAAATTCACTTGAAGAAGGATGATGAATAAAGAAAGACATATCATTTGAAAAGGACGTTATTACCTAGGGCAAAATCTACTAGTATTGCACCTACTGCAACGGCAGAGCCACTAGAAGATCCTCCAGGCACCCTATCTGGTGCACAAGGATTCGTGGGAGTGCCATAATGTTTATTGACTCCATACATACTGAATGTAAAAATTTACACATGTATAAAACCAACAAGTTTTATGATCAGAAAAGAGGAGTCATAAAAATCTATCAAAACTCTGACCAGTATGCCATTTCATCCATGACAGTCTTTCCCAGACAAGTTGCACCTCCCATTAAGAGGTCCATCACAGCCGGTGCTGTTGATGTGGCAGCTGAATGAGTCCTCGCCCAGTCAGGGTTTCCAAAGCCAGTGACATATCCCTCTATGTCAAATCTATTTCCAACTTTGAAGTTAAACCAGTTAGTCTCAAATACTGAGGTAGCAGAACAGGAAAGACAAGGTCCAGTAATCAAAAGCAGAAATTGATTAGTGAGCTTGCAAATATTAAACACATACCCACACACAAATTATTTACGAGAATACAAGAGAAAAACCAATGACTGAAATTCAAAAGAAAGTACACCAGGTCTCCAGGACAATACAGTTAAAACATGTGGCTGAAAGTTGATTTGTTAGACTGGAGAGTGGAGACACATGCAGACATTCAGGTGAATAAATAGAACTCTAGGCTATAAAGTATAACAGTAAACACTACAGAAACAGAAGAATATATGGTATGGATAAAAATTGGTGCATGAATTAACTAAGACAAGCATTTTTGTAGATTACTGACAAAATCATATCCCAATAATCCAAAAGCAAGAATTGGTATACAATATAAGATGCAAAAAAATAAGTAGAACATGCTTTAATTGTCATGTTTCCATCATATAGAAGCAAGAGTGACATTAATGAGGAAAAATTAAAGGTAAAATGCATATAGAGAGAGACAAACATGTCTTAACAGCAAAAGTGAGGCCACTCAAAGGGAGTTGGTGCGGTGAAGGGCCAGGCTGGAGAGTAAATTTCTCCATGAAAGCTCCAAAGTCCAAGCTTTTTGCCATGTCTGTTGCTGCTATCTTTGTGTAAAATGTGTAGTAAACTCATTTATCTGTAAGTCCTTTTTGTTTCAAGCAGAGAATCCAGCTACAAGAGAAAACAATGTTGTTACTAGTCTTATGTTGGATGCCTTGTCTGCATCGTTCTCAAAATGTAACAAAATTTCTTGTCTAATGACTCTTTTCTCCTTTGTTACATTTTATGTAGGAGTACTTATGATCTACTATAGCTGTCTTAGTGACGTGATGACTTTTGAGTCCGCTATCACATTATTACCAGAGATTGAAAATAATTGCTGATCAATGATTTAGGCGCCCTCCCCTTTCGCTTTTATTAAGGACAAGCGATCAAGATAAGGATAAGCAACAGCAGACACCTGGACTACAAAATCAAGATGCGCACCTAATGTAGTTGAAAAAAAATTGGCTTAAGACAAAGTGAAGATATTTTCATGGTTGTTTAAATATATGGAACAAAAGGTTGAAGGAAACTATGGATATTAATTGATTAAAATGCAGTAGAAGCACTTTTTTTTTTGTTCTAAATGGAACTTCTTCTGAGCTTCTTCAAATCCATGTCAAAGATTTATATGAAGTAATAATTGGTCTGTATAGGTTCTTCTGCAAGCTCAGAATGTTCCAACCCAAACCTTTTGCAGGTATGCATCATATAGGCTTCAATGCTCAAGCCAAAGACAAGTAACAGTTCCAACTCATTCTCAAATTGGTGTGTCTGTTCTTAGTAACGGCAAACTAGGAGTGTCACCACTGCAACTGCGGCAACGGGAAACCTTCTGTTTTAATTCAGGGTTATCAATAGATGAAATATCCATAGCTTGTTTCGTTGGTTGAGACAGATACATCATATTTTAGCTCTTATATACTTGACTGGTTGGGAGATAAAACCTTATTGCTAATAAATATCAGACACCACCACCTCAAGCAGGGAAACAATAATTGATACTGTTCATAATTATATACCTACATAATTTTAATCAGTTTTGAGTATCTACAGTTTCCATGGACTGGAAGTTTTCCATTCTCAATTATTAAATATATATGGATGGAAACAAAACGTCCTCTAACATTTTCATGCTCACATATTATAATCCCAATCCAATTAACTGAGTGGCACTGGCACAACATGCCTAGTTTTGTTATAAAAGAACATAAACTTGCCGAAATATAAAAAACAGATTGAATCCAACTCATTCTCTCAGCATTGCAATTTCTCCCTTGAGGGTGTCATATAAAGTCTCAACAATACTGAGCAGGAATGCATCTGAACCATGTTTTGCTAGCAAGGAGATTGACACGGGAAGATTATTATGCATTCCCAGAGGTATGCTTACCTGTAGACCAGACATATAAGAATTTTGAAAGTACTATTAAAGACAAGGAGAAAAAATAGTCGAAACTTTTTCGAGTTAAAACCTGACAGAATCCAGATAATCCTGCAATGGAGAGCAAGTTAAAAGCCCTAGCACGAAATCTTGCCAGTGTGGCTGGATCAGTTTGTAGTTTTGGTGGATCCCCTGGAGCTGTGGGGATAGCTAGGATGCCATGGTCCTTAAAGAGCATGTTCAAGCAGAGTTATTGGTAAGAGATAGATATGGTTACTAGGAGAAATAAAGAAGACTAGTCTAACTTATAAAAAAGAAATGGGAAGAATATGTCAAAAGTTTAATACTGCAGGCAAACATCTACATATGTTGGTATAAATTGCATTGAATAAAAATATACAAGCAAAGAATCTCTAATTTTTAATGGTAAATCAGGCTTAACTTTTCTATATTAATGTATACATCGTTCAAAAAGAACATTCATCAAGATTATTATCAATTCAAACCCAGGTTACTTCAAGAGAGCATTAGTTAGGTAGCAAAATGTTCAGAGCGAAAGAGTAACAGATCAGAAAGTACCCCAAGCAGAGCAGTAAGTGCAGCACGTAATTCACTTCTCACAGAATTGCAGATGTCAATGTTTTCCTGTGTTGTTCTAATGGCTTTCCATACCCGCCCAGATATTCCTGGACCTAAATCAGGATTCACTTTGGTGACCCATTCAGCATGATTACTCTTAAATTCATACCTGCAGTGATTAAATTTAGTAATAATACTTAAACACATCAGGCTGGCTGAATGGTTACAAGTTACTTGATGTTTTGCACCTTTGAAGCAACTGCATTACACTTGAAAGAGCTGCCAAGGATGGTATATCATACTCTTGGCCTTCATTTTCCTTATCCATGAAATGCTGCAGACTTGGCACATTGTCCTTGACATAGTCTCCAAGGATTACATGCTTTACAAATTGACCTGCACTTTCAAATACCTAAAGTAAAGTCTAATGGCCCTTCTAATCAGCCAGGTTGTGTCTGAACATCCATACTTGAAATGGTTAACAAGTATCATTTCCAAGCCTGGATAAATCTCTATTAGCCTTTAAGTTTAAATAAGCCTATGGTTGATTTACTTACCTCCAAAGAGCTTCTCAACTGATTTAACAAGAATTTGAGCTGTTCTTTCACTTGGAACACTTGATAGGCAGAAACAATCCTCTGGAATAATAATCTGAGTAGGTCTGGTAGGATCCGCATCAGGCAAATGCAGCAGAACACGTCCAACTAGATTCAAAATCACAGGATCCCTAGCAAACCATCCTACATTAGAACTTGACGTCAAAAGGAGTGACCACTAAGAAGCTTTACAAATATAGTTCATTCATGGAGTTTGTAGAACATAAATACAGGCATGGAAACTTTATCACATTTTCAAATAAAGTAGTGACTATTGATTAGTCCTAAACTAGTTTAATTGATAAAATTACTGCTTCTATTGGCATTATTTACTGTATGAAAAAAAATTGCCCCTTAATTTTCAAGTTAGGCTTTTCAGGTTATTAGCATGGTCAATCAGACTAAAAGTTTCTCAGATCAGCTAACTGCAACATATAGATTTTGAAATAGGAACATCGCATTTAATCCTTACCCACAGTATCGAAACTTTGTGCGAAAGGAAGAACTCCAACAGTGGAGACAGTATCATGTGAAGGTCTAAACCCAAGAATTCCACAATATGATGCAGGGAGTCTCACACTTGCTCCAGTGTCAGTTCCTATGCCGGAAATAAAAATTCAGTTCCACAAATTGCGGTCAAATAGAGAGAAGAAATATCTTAGTGAAAAGGAAAATGATCACCTAGGGAGAAGTCCACCAGCATTGCACCTACTGCAACAGCAGAGCCACTGGAAGATCCTCCAGGCACCCTATCTGGTGCACATGGATTCCTGGGAGTGCCATAATGCTTATTTTCTCCATAAATGCTTGAAAAAAAAAAAGAAGATAAAATTACTCAGAGGTATAGCCAGCAAGAGTGATTAATCAAGGAAAGTAATTATATTTGTAATCATAAAATCTATAAAACAAATCTCACCAGTATGCCATTTCATCCATGATAGTTTTTCCAACACAAGTTGCCCCAGCCCTTAAGACATCCAACACAGCTGGTGCCGTAGATGTGGCAGCTGAATGAGTTCTTGCCCAGTCAGGGTTTCCAAAGCCAGTTACATATCCATCCACATCAAATCTGTTTCCATACTTTTAATTTGAGATTATAAACATCAAGCAACCAGAAAGCACAAGAGCCAATAATCAAAAACTGAAATTGATATGAGCTTGCAACAAAGACATATACCAATTACCAACAAAAAAGAATATAGGAAGTCCCAAATGGCTGAAATCACAACCAGGAAGAAGGTTGACTCGCGAAGACATTAGATACTTCAACAGAAGACAGTAGTATGTAATAAATGAATATAATCAGACTCAAGGCTAAATGCAGTTAAAAACTAAATATGCAGAAGAGCTTGTACTTAGAAATAGGTGTATGAATTGGTAAAACACTATCTACACATACAAGCTTTTGCTGACAAAAGATGAAACAAAAAATCCAAAGCAAAAACTAGCATATAAAAGAAAGAAAACAGGTAATCTGCTTTGAGTTATCCAATATCTGGCATCCATGGTTAGAAGAATAATTTCATGAGGAAAAGTTGGAAAAGACAATACTTGCATAAACATGGACTGACATGTCTTTAACAGCAAAAGTGAGGCCACTCAAGGGGAGTTGGTGATGATCGAGAGGTGAAGGACCTGGTCGAAGAGTAAATTTCTCCATGAAAGCTCCATACTCCAAGCTTTCTGCCATGTATGTTACTGCTCTCTCTCTTTCTCTCTCTCTATGCTGTCTGTGAATAGTAGGCTGATCCAGTAATGTCCTTTCCTGAGCAGAGAATTTCACATCCAATTTCCAAGTCCCATGTTAGGTGCGCTGTCTGCATCAATTTTGTGGAAAAATTGTTGTACTGTAACTCGTTTGGAGTTGGACTAACAATCCAACGTTATAATACCGTCCAAAACTAGGGATGCGAATTGGCAGGATATGGATAGATAGTGCATTTTTCAGCATCTTTGAATTTTCGTATTAAATTTATTTTTTATTTATTTAACAGATATTTAAAATTTATTTTAATTTTTATTCTCACAAATATTTAATAAATATAAATAATCTTATTTATAATTTTTTAAAAGATAAAAAATAAAAAATTAATTTTTTAATATTTATAAATAACTTATATACATATACATTAAAGTCAAGTCAAATTGATTTAAATTTTAAATATTTTTATTAAGATTCAATTTTGAATTTAAATGAATCTAAAAATTATATTCAAATTTATTTATTTAATTTTAATTTATTTATTTAATTTTTATTTAAAACTTGTGATTTAATTTAATAAAGTTGAATATTTTGTTAATATTGTTAATAAAGCATTTCAAGGATTACTAAATGGTTTTGTTATGGACACATTATTTGAGAGTAATGCATTTTCGTGCATTGTTAATTGATACTTAGCAGTATCATGCTTGTTTATTAATTAAGAATTTATGTTAGAATTATTGATATTATTGCATGTAACCATGCTTGACTCTAGGTATGAGATTTAATATAAAAAATGATTGAATTGTATTATATACATTGGTGAATATAATTTTAATCATGTTTGTGATACTATTGATAAATGATTAAACTTTAGTAATACATTATGATTCCTTAATGAGTTTTAGTGATTGAAAATATATAATTATATGATTAAATTTCAGTCACACATTATGATAGTTTCATGAGTTTTATTGATTGACAAAATATGATTATATTCTTATGCGAGATATATACTACTAAACTCATGGTAACATGTCATGTATAACATATTCAAGTAAGGTATAATTTTAAATTGATTGGTGATGATATATCAAACGAAGATAATTTATAACAAAGAAATTATTATCATGTAGGTATATATATATATTAGTAGCAGTACCAAAATCTATACACTCTCACATCGAAGACCGGCGAACTCATGCCAACCATATTTCATGTCCTTCTCCACCCTTCTTAATTGATCCATTAACTTTGTTTCTGGAGCCCGCCATTGTACAATCTTAGTTGGCAACTTTATCAACTTTCTCCAGATTTCTTTTTATACCTTTTCATAGCTGCAAAGAAACAAATGTTAAAAAAGGAAGGAACTATGTATGAAACCAAGCCATGAGTGAAAATTGCCATGAACATAAATCCAAGATTTCCATGACCATTAGGGCACAAGAAATTAGGGAAAGGAATAACAAAATGTTCCCTCACCATTTAAAAAAGCTTGAACACATTTCTTGCTTTCGAACTCTTTCCATTCACTACCATCTGCAACAAGAGGTGGAGAAACATCTGCCTTCTCATCCAGCCTTCTCTGATTCACTTCAAAAGCAATGGCAACAATCAATTGCTCAACTCCAACAATCTCATCACCTGAAATTATATGTCTACTAATCAAGCAGCAACCAAGCAGAAATGATACATAACAAGTTCAAAAAGCAAAATAAAGCAAAATTACCAATAATATTTGCTATAGTCCGAGTTGACATGTACAAGTTGTATGGGGATATGCGGCAGGTTCTTCAACTAAATTCTGCAATCCTATACCAGAATAAGCTTCTCAACAAAGCCCTTAACTCCTGTCAAACCAACTGCCCAAAGGATATGGTGCCTGCTGATGTATCGGTAGCCTTATATCTTCTCCGTGCCTCAGCAATTTTAATCAAGTTGATGACCTCATCAGTAAATGAACCAAAAGGCCCACACTCTAAGACATGAGCAACAGCCCAAGAAAAAAGCCGCATCTGTAAAAGTCAAGTGTTAAAATAATTTAAACATAAGCAATATAATACCCACAAATACACCAACGCATGCAATTATTATCATTATTATAAGTTTATGACCACTTTAAACAACAAACATATGAGACGTACGCTGCCATATCTCCCGCCTGAAAGCATTGAACAGTTTGTTCTCCAAGCTACTTTCTCAAGTATATCCTCCAAATCGGCAGAGGTTAAATGCTTCTTTATATCCAGTACGCCAATATCCCACAAAGTTTCATAACGCAATGCATCTGTAATGCAATAACATGGAGATAAACCATTCTCCATAATTACATGCATCTTTATCTCCTCCTACATGTCCAGTAAGAGTCGAGTCAGATTAACAAATAATTCTTAACAATAGATACATATGAAAATGCATGTAGACACAAATTAAGAAATGAATAAATGGAACCAAACACGTCTGCATATAGATTTTTTGCATGATGGACCAACTCAAATGGGTCAAATATGTACCAAACAGAAAACAAATGCAATAGAACCAGATAATTAACAGCTATAGAAATCAAAAGACCACCAAAATCTACATGACTTAGTGAAAACCCTAGATGTTAAGATGAAGGAGAACAAAAAATCTCCTACCTTCAAAGGAGCAAACTGACACATCATAGTTCTGACCATTTCCACATAACGTTTGTGACGTCCTTTCTAAACAATAAGAAAAATTATCACAAATTCAAAAAAAAAAAAAAATAGATTAAGAGAACAAAAATAAATGTCTTAAATTCTCATCATAAATATATTATTACCTCGAAGCAACAGCCCTCAATTTCATCAGTCACAAAATTCATAAACTCAACCTATAGAACACCAACTGAACAAGGCATAATCATCCCAACAGATGAAATACAAAACAATCCTTTAAAAATTCCAACCCATTAAAATGAGAACGGTTAGATATGAAAACAAGCAAGGATTGATTGAATGCACATGTAGTATTTGGGCATTTTCCTCGCCAAGGATGCCATGAAAATAAATTTAACCTATTTAATCATACAAATGATGGTTTCTCAAAACTCTTCAAAATGAGAAAGATTCAATAACAGTTATAAATTCTAATGTTTGGCAGCGAGAGAGGAGAAATTATTTTTTTGAGAGAGGAGAAATTATTTTTTTGGAAAAGGTTACTAATAAATTCTAAATATTTTGGCATCTAAATTATAAATTTGGATGCTTTCCTTGTTACTTGGAATCTTGTTTTAACAAACAAAAAATAATTCAATACGTCACTGAAAAAATACAATTTAAAGAAAATAACAACAGAAATATACCAGAAAAATAACAAAAAAAATATACCAGAAACCACTATGTAAAAACAGTGGATCATAAACAGAAAGAACCCACGTAGCACAACACTGACTACCAAAACAATTGCACTAGATCCTTGTTGTATTAAAGACAACAACATACCACTACAGCTGGTGTCCATTTTCATATGCGCACTATAAAGTCTGAATAGTACTCCTGCATATGAACAAATATTTTATGGTCATACAACACAATTAGCAGATATCATAAAACCATCCTCTATCAAATATAAATAAAAACAGACACGCCTGAATAAGAAATCCCATATCATACTCCGTCAACAAAGGAAAACCATCTAGAGTTATCTTCCCTTCAGCGATAAGTTTCACAGGGTCATCACAATCCTATAAAAAAGCATAGTGTTTTAATCATCATGTCACATACACAATTTAAATAAAATCAGTAGCTAGGACATTGTTGATGGTGAGCTACCCCAAATTAGCAAGTTGCATTATTTGAGTGTTTTTGAGCTGCATATCTATGTACTTTCATATGTGCATTCATGTGTTTGTCCGTGTGTGTGTATATATATATATATATATAAATAACAAAGGACCATTACTACAAACACAAACCTTTGGAGGTAGAGGTAACAACTTTTCATGATAAAAATTTTTGTTTTCAGATACGATCCTATCATAAAAGTTGAGTCGTTCAAGATCTTCCTGAAAATAGAAAAAAAAAAAAAAAGAATAAGCAAATTGTCTCCCTAGAACTGCAAAGGAACTACAAAGAATTCTGCACTTGTTTAATAACCAAAATAAGAAGGCATTAATACCACAAAAGAAGCAAAAGAACACTAAAAATAGAGAAGAAAATTCCATCAAAATAAAGCATATTATAAATAATTTAAATGAGAATGAGGAGAAGAAAACCAGAATAAGTAATAGGAGCAGACTACTCAAGAACCTAGTTCTTAACTAACACAAAGATCCCTTAACATTTTAAAGATCTACCATCAGTTCAAGCCAATTGGAAAGACCCTTAACAAGACCCTTAAATTTTAAAAAACCTACTTTGACTGCATTTATAAACCTTAAGATAGATAAAGGAGCCTTAAAAGTAATATTAATTTCTAGAAGAATAAGTACATTAATAAGAAAATCAACAAAAAGCAAAAATCGATCCTCAAATTGAACTTCTTTCAGTTCCCACTTAAGGCTTGGCAATCAACTCTTAAGCGAAAAAATGTTAAAATAATAAAACTGAGCATTAAAAAAAAAAGCAAAGTTCATATAAGTAGAGAATGTACCGTATCAAAAATACTTTGAATAAATTTGGCCAAGCTTTTAAACATGCTGTCTTGAAGGGCATTATAAATATGAAACTTTTTTGCACATTTGGCCAAGCTTTCCAAATCTTTCCAACCATTTAACATCCATTGTCGTAGGGTTACCACCGCTAATATTATTGCCATCTGCTTCACCCTTTCTTCCACACAATTGACATCATTACTCAACCAAAATGAAGTGGCGAAAAATACCTTCAAATGGAAACCAACACTAATCAATAAGGTATCATAATAAACCTTTCAAATCCTATTTTCTAATGTTGACACCACTTCTTTTTCTTACTAGAATAAGACACAAATATTTTCTTGAAAAAAAAAAGCAGCATTTGGCTAACTTGTGAAATTAAAGAAATACCACAAGATTATTTAGAAATTAGTGCCACTTACTCCTTGATTGTTGTCTTCCTTCTCTTTTCTGACTTTCAAAATTTTCTAAAACAATAAAAAAGAAAAATCTTAGTGAGTTCATGGATGAAAAAATAAGTTGGAAATACATGAATTATGACAAAAAAGAGATAACAAATTCACATACTTTTATAATCAGCCGGTTTTCTTCATGCCTACTCATCTTTTTTGAGTCTCTCTTTAGCTCTTGGCAAGATTCTATTTCAAACAGTGCCATATCAACAAGCATTGTATTCATTCTCTATAACACAGTCACAACTCACAAAAAGACAACACAAAAATCAATTAATTACTTTCAAAGACATTCCAAATATGTCTTACTAACGCAAAGCCAAACAGTTGGCATAATTGTATTTACAGGAGTAATCTAAAACAAACCAGACTTGTAACGTAGTTTGCAATTTTGTAAAAGGTATGATGATTTCCAATACCTTGCTGTGAGACATAGTTTGGCTTGAAACCTTCTTCTCCAAGTTTTTCTCCTTGTAACGTTGGCTTGTAACCTTCATATCCGTGGGCCCAATTTGAGAGCTAGGTTTTTCTCCTTATTTTCCTCCTCCTTGATGAGAACCTTGTGAGAGGTAGGTTGTTCATTACTCAGAGACATGTGACAATGACCGTTGAGTGCCCTGCTTGAGGGAAGTCTGCTTTTGTCTCCCATAACGGAACTAGGTTTGCCTAATTTCTTTTTGTCATGCAGATCTTGGGTATTCATGAAAGTTTTTAATCTTGGTTGATATATAGTTTAACTTAAATATGCTTTCAGTTTGCACTTTGCAGATGTTTAAAGGCGAGAAAACTGATGGAAAACTGATTCGGTTGTCGTCCATTGTTGTGCGAATAATACGAGAGGATTATCGATTAATTAAGAAGGCTGGAATGTGCGTATGGTTGGAATGATTTATAGATTACGATAATGATATATGGGCTGTTTCAGTCTTCTGATTCAGTCTAACCCATTTGAATTTGCAGGCTCAATTCCATATGATTGATCCAAGTAGAAATTCAAAAAAAAAAAAAAATCGTTGTACATCTAGATTAAAAAAAAAGGTACATAAGATCAACGCAACATTCTCTTTTCACTTCATATTTTTCTTAAGTCTGTAAGCATGCCCACAAATAAAGTAAATCAATCTCGCCTCCTCTTTCTACTCAATTAGAAATGTAAACTAATTCAATAAAAATGAAATTTGTTATATTGATATAATTTATTTTTACTTAAACGAGAATTAAAATATTATTTATAATATTTTATAAAATTTATTAAAAATATATAAACGAAAAAAATAAAATTTATTCATAAAATTTTCATTGATTGTTATATTAGTTTATACTTCAACTACAAACAAACTAAATACTATCATAATTTATCATGTTCGTAATTTTTTTATTTAATTAACTAATGTCAAAATATTATTTATGATGGTTTAATCAATTATTAAACTTAACAATCGAATATAAACCAAACTTCAAATCTAATTATCGGTAAAAAATTCTATGTACTTAATGCACTCAAAATTTTTTGATAGCCTTCAATTTCATTATATCCTATTAGCGACGATGATAAAGGAAGGACAGCTTAAAACAAGACAAATGCAAACGCATCAATCAATTACTTTTAGTTTCACGTATTGAAGCGAGATTGATCAAATTGAAATTGATTAGTATATAACCAAATTCATTTGAGTGGTTAAACCAAGGCAGATTCATTTCATAATAGAACAAAATTTATATTCACTAATAGTAAATAGTAAAATACTGGCAAAAAAATTTAAATAGTAAAATAATAAGAGCCTTCAGAGGCAGATCAAAAGTTATGGGTTGGATATATATTAGTAACAGTATCAAAATCTATGGACTCTTACATCGAAGACTGGCGAACTCATGCCAACCATATTTCATGTCCTTCTCCACCCTTCTTAATTGATCCAATAACTTCGTTTCTGGAGCCCGCCATTGTACAATCTTAGTTGGCAACTTTATCAACTTTCTACCAGCTTTCTTTTTATACCTTTTCACAGCTGCAAAGAAACAAATGTTAGAAAAGGAACCGTGTATCAACAAAGAGTGAAAAATGCCATGAATATTATATCCGAGATTTCCATAACCACAAGGGCAGAAGAAATTTGGGAAGGAACAAAACAATGTTTCGTCACCGTTTAAAAACTCTTGAACACATTTCTTGCTTCCGAACTTATTCCATGCACTTCCATCTGCAACAAGAGGTGGAGAAACATCTCCCTTCCCATTTAGGCTTCTCTGATTCACTTCAAAAGCGATGGCAACAACCAAATGCTCAACTCCGACAATCTCATCACCTGAAATTATATGCCCACTAATCAAAGCAGCAACCAAACAGAAATGCAACAAAAACAATTATAAAAACAAGATAAACGAAACTTACCAAGAATATTTGCTTTGTCCCAGCTGACATGTATATGCTGTAACGGGGGATATGCTGCAGGTTTCTTTCAACTAAATTCTGCAATCCTAGACATTAATAAGCCTCTTCAAACAAAGCCCTTAATCCTGTCAAACCAACTGCCCAGAGGATTGGTGCCTGCTGATGTATTGGTGCCTTCATATCTTCTCCGTGCCTCAGGCAAATTTTAAACCAAGTCAATGACCTCATCAGCAAGATGAACCAAAAGGCCCAACATCAATGCAATCAGTAACACCCACATATAAAAGGGCGCACCTGTAAAAGTCATGTTTTAAAACAATTTAAAAAATAAGCAATATAATACCCACAAAATACACCAAAGCAAGCCAATTGTTGTCATTTAATTATAAGTTCATTGACCACATTAAATACCAAAAATATAAGACGTACGCTGTCGTATCTCCCACCTGACAGCGAAAGCATTGAACAGTTCGTTCTCCAAGCTACTTCCTCAAGTATATCCTCCAAATCGGCAGAGGTTAAATGATTCTTTATATCCAGTATACCAATATCAGACAAAGCTTCATATCGCAATGCATCTGTAATGCAATAACATGGAGATAAACCATTCTCCATAATTGTATGCATCTTTATCTCCTCCTACATGTGCAGTAAGAGCCGAGTCAGATTAAAGAATAATTCTTAGCAATATATACATACGAAAATGCATGTAGACACAAATTAGGAAATGAATGAACGGAACCAAATACGTATGCATTTAGATTTTTTGCATGCTGGCCCAACTCAAAGGGGTCAAATTTGTACCAAACAAAAAACAAAAGAAACAGAACCAGATAATTAACAGCTAGAGAAATTAGAAGACCACCAAAATCTACACGACAAAAAATCTCCTACCTTCAAAGGAGCAAACTGAAGCATCACAGTTCTGGCCATTTCCAGATAACGTTTGTGGCGTCCTTTCTAAACAAGAAGAAAAATTATCACAAATTCAAAAAAAATAGTAGATTAAGAAAACAAAATAAATGTCTTAAATTCTTATCACAAATGTTTTATTACCTTGAAGCAACAGCCTTCAATTTCATCAGTCACAAAATTCATAAACTCAACCTATAGAACACCAAATGAACAAGGCATAAACATCTCAACAGAAGAATGCAAAATATCCTTAAAAAATTCCAACCCACCAAAATGAGAACGATTGGATATGAAAACAAGCAAGGATTGATTGAATGCACATGAATGGTATTTGGGCGTTTTCCCCGCCAAGGATGTCATGAAAATAAATTTAACCTATTTAATCATACAAATGATGGTTTCTCAAAACTCTTCAAAACAAGAAAGATTCAATAACAGTTATAAATTCTAACATTTGGCAGCCACAGAGGAGAAATTATTTTTTTGGAAAAGGTTGCCAACAAATTCTAAATATTTTGGCATCTAAATTATAAATTTGGATGCTTTCCTTGTTACTTGGAATCTTGTTTTAACAAACAAAAAATAATTCAATAGGTCATTGAACAAATACAATTTAAAGAAAATAACAACAGAAATATACCAGAAACCACTATGTAAAAACAGTGGATCATAAACTGAAAGAACCCACGTAGCACAACACTGATGACCAAAACAATTGCACTAGATCCTTGTTGTATTAAACACAACAACATACCACTACAGCTGGTGTCCATTTTCGTATGTGCGCTATAAAGTTTGACTTGTACTCCTGCATATGTACAAATATTTTATGGTCATACAACAATATTAGCAGATATCATAAAAGCATCCTCTAGCAATGATAAATAAAAACACACACCTGAATAAGAAATCCCATATCATACTCCGTCAACAAAGGAAAACCATCTAGAGTTATCTTCCCTTCAGCAATAAGTTTCGCAGGGTCATCACAATCCTATAAAAAAGGATAGTGTTTTAATCATAATGTCACATACATGATTTAAATAAAATCATTAGCTAGGACATTATTGATGGTGAGCTACCCCAAATTAGCAAGTTGCATTATTTGAGTGTCTTTGAGCTGCATATCTATGTATTTTCATGTGTGCATTCACGTGTTAGTCCGTGTGTGTGTGTCTGTGTGTGTGTGTGTGTGTGTGTGTGTGTATATCAATAACAAAGGACATGACTACAAACACAAACCTCTAGAGGTAGAGGTAACAACTTTTCACGATAAAATTTTTTGTTTTCAGATACAATCCTATTATAAAAGTTGAATCGTTCAAGATCTTCCTGCAAAAAATAAATAATAATAAATAAGCAAATTGTCTCCCTAGAACAGCAAAGGAACTACAAAGAATTCTGCACTTGTTTAATAACCAGAAATAAGAAGGCATTAAAACCATAAGAGAAGCCAAAGAACACTAAAAATAGAAAAGAAAATTCCATCGAAATAAAGCATATATTAATAAATTAAAAGCAAATAAATCATAGGAGCAGACTACTCAGAACCTAGTTCTTCACTAACACAAAGATCCCTTAACATTTTAAAGACCTACCATCAGTTCAAGCCAATCTCATATTGGAAAGACCCTTACATGTTAAAAAACCTACCTTGACTGCATTTATAAACCTTAAGACAGATAAATGAGCCATAAAAGTATTATTAATTTCTAAAAGAATAAGTATATTAATAATAAAACTGTGCATAAAGAAAAAAGCAAAGTTCATAGAAGCAAAGAATGTACCGTATCAAAAATACTTAGAATAAACTTGGCCAAGCTTTTGAACACGCTGTCTTGAAGGGCATTATAAATATGAGACTTTTTTGCACATTTGGCCAAGCTTTCCAAATCTTTCCAACCATTTAACATCCATTGTCGTAGGGTTACCATCGCTAATATTGTTGCCATCTGCTTCACCCTTTCTTCCACACAACCGACGTCATTACTCAATGAAAATGAAGTGGCGAAAAATACCTTCAAATGGAAACTGACACTAATCAATAAGGTGTCATAATAAAACCTTTCAAATCCTATTTTTGATGTTTGCACCACTGCTTTTTATTACAAGAAAAAGACACAAATATTTTCTTGAAAAAAAAACAGCATTTGGCTTACTTATGAAATTAAAGCAATACCGCAAGATTATTTAGAGATTAGTGCCACTTACCCCTTGATCATTGTGTTCCTTCTCTTTTCTGACTTTCAAAAATTTCTAAAACAATATAAAGATAAATCTCAGTTAGTTCATGGATGAAAAAAAAAGTTGGAAATACATGAATTATGACAAAAAAGAGATAAACAATTCGTATACCTTTAGAATCAGAAGGTTTCTTCATGCCTACTCATCTTTTTTAAGTCTCTCTTTAGCTCTTGGCAAGACTCTATTTCAAACAATTGCATATCAACAACCATGGTCTGCATTCTCTATAAGACAGTTACAACCAAAGACAACACAGAAATCAAATCAATTACTTTCAAGACACTCCAAATCTGTCTTAAAAACGCAAACCCAAACAGTTGGCATAATTGTATTTACAGGAGTAATCTAAAACAAACCAGATTTGTAAAAGTTTGCAATTTTGTAGAGGGGTTCTTATAGCAACTCGCAAACGTGATGATTTCCAATACCTTGCTGTGAGACATAGGTAGGCTTGAAATCTTCTTCTCCAAGTTTTCCTTCCCATAAGATTGGCTTGTAACCTTCATCTCCCTGTTAATAGGCCCAGTTAGAGTGTTAGGTTTCTTCTCCTTGTCGTCCTCCTCCTTGATGAGAACATCGTCAGTATAAGAGCTAGATTGTTCATTGTTGAAAGACCTGTGACTGTGACACTTGAATGCACTGCTTGTGAGAAATATGCTTTTGTCTTCCATGCTGGAACTAGGTTTGCCTATCCTATGATTCGCAGGCTCAAGTGTAACAAGAAAACGGCAAAACACGAGCAAGATAAAAATACAACTTTGAAAGGAAAAATTGACAATGGAAAGAGTACAGAATAAACATTGCGTTGGGCCAAAACAAGAGCTACCTCATAATTGACTCTCCTGTGTCAGCAATCTGTATTGTATTCTCTATTTTTGGCATGCGTTTTTCTCTTTTTCTCAAATCTTTGCTACTGTGAGAATTTTCCGGAAACAAAGTGAAAACACCCGAAGAAAAGAGAAGAATAAGAAAAAGAAGACAATAATTTCGAATTAATCTCAGAACCATATCTAAAATCTTCAAATTAGTCGATTCAAAAATTTCAAGCTTTGAAGTATAAAAACCTAGAACAAACCTGAAATCGACCCTCTTCAACCAAAAAGAAACCCCAAAATTTTATGCTTCTAGAGCTTAGACAAAACACTGTTCGAAGACAAAAAATAAAAAACGAAATCAAAGCACTCACCAAAGTCAGCCATCTTTTATAATACTCCCTGCCGGCTAGAATCTCGAGCTTTCAAATGAGTCAGTCTACAATCTAACTCTTTCCGAAAGACGCAAGAACCGAAGGATCTTTGCTCGTCACCCTAATACGCTCTCACAAAATGACCAATTTAACTCATAATAATTTTAAGATAGTCAGATAAAAAAAATTTTAAATAAAAAAAAATAGAATCGTCAAGTTATCATAATAATTTTTAGATCGTTAAATATAAAAGTTTTAATTTCGTAAAAAATAAGAAAAATTACCTTCAATTTTTTTTTAAGATACGATTAATCACTCAAAAATTTTAATTTTTTAAATAAAATGGTAAAATAAGTTTAGAATTTATTAAAAAGATCATTTTGATCTACCAAAACAGATTAGACTTTATAATCAATTACGTGTCAAAAAAAATTAATACATTTACAATGTCTACAAAATTGGTACCAATTAATTAAAGGTGAGTAATTTAAAGGTAGATTAGAAACTTAAAAAAAATACCTATGATATACGTAATACAAATAAATATAAAATAATAATTTGATTTTTAAATTATTAAATAAAAGATTAAATTTCCTTTATTATATTATATCATCCTTTATTTTATTTCATATTTTTTATATTCATTTATTTTATCTTTCTTTTTATGATTAAATTTTAATATGTACTTATATAACGATAAGAGGTAAGTCCAAAGGGATTAGAAGAGGATAATTGTCTAAATTTATAAAATAACCATTCTACTTTTTAAGTAAAATGATGGTTTTATCCTTTAAGCTAAATAAAAATAAAAATAACTATAAATAATTATTTTTTATTATATTTAAATTTTTATAATTAACAATTATGCTATCCTAAATATAAATGTTGCAATTTTAGCTTTACACATGTCAATCCAAGATTTTTTTATTTACTTTTATTTTTTATTTTTATATCTAATAGATATATTTTAATATTTAAATTTTTTTGTATGGCCTCATTCGACAATCAAAAGTTTTTTTTTCTATTTACTTTTATTTCTTATTTTTTACATTTAATAGATAATTTTTAATATTTTAAAATTTTTTGCGTGGACCCTTTTCAAAGTGTGACAAGCATCTTTTTTACTTTTTATTTTCTTTCATACTTTTCCTTTTTATTTTTTTAACATTTTTTATATTTTAAAATTTCTTGTTTCTTTTTTTTTTTTGTAGAGCTTATTTTTTTGGGTGCACAGGATGAGCAAAACCTATGGAAAGGGAAGAAAGGCTTGGTTCAAAGTCAAGATCTCTATGTCATTTTTTTCTCTTTTTTATGTTTAATAAATATTTGTTTTATTTTTTCTTTTGTAAGATCTATTTGATATTATTAATTAAAAAAATATTTTTTTCATATTTTTTTTAATTTGATAATTTTATAAGAAAAGAATATTAATGAAGGTGTCTACATGGCATTCAAATTTAATTTTTTCAGTCTATTTTGTTTCTTGTTATCTTTAGTTTTTTTTATTTTAAATCCATAATATAAAATTTGCTAAACCAGCTCATCATTACGAATGGCATATGACAAATAAATTTTTTTTTTTTACTTTTTACCTTTTTTTTTTCCTTTTTTAAGTTTTTTTCTTTCTTTCTTTCTTTTTATTACATCAAATTTTTTGAAAGAAAAAAAAAAATGAAGACCCGTCCACATGACAACTTATTTTGTTTTTTTTTTGCCTTTTATCTTTTTTATTTTTTATTTAATTAGATAAATATTACACAAATAAAAATCGAGGGTTTTTTTTTTTAAATCAAGGCTGAGTTGAATGTAGATTTATGGTGTTCCATTTTACCCTAAGTTTATATATAATTTTATTTTTAATTATTTATTTATGTTTATATTTATATGTGTATTGTATTAATGAAATTATTATTTGATAATTTAATTTAATAAAATACTATATTTGTATATAATTAAAATATCATCAATCCATTCATTCATTCATCGTACATTCATTATATAAATTTTACTCAATTTAACCTTCATTCAAAATGTTGACATGACTCTCTATATTTTTTGGAAAATCAAAAAATAAATACATTAGAAGTGTTTTTTCATTCAAAAAGTTATATTATTTCATTCAAATAATAGCAGTTTGTGAAAAAGTTGTTTTAGATTCCCTTTAAGTACTATAAATACTACAGTAAACACTGTTTTTCTTGCAACTTTCATTCTTTAAAGAACAAAATTCATAATTCTCTCATTACGCTATTTTTTTGTTCATGAAGCATCCTTCTTCTAGTTAAGCATTATATATAGCGGATAATGTCTCTAAGAGTCTATTTGTACAATATTGGAGAGACTATTATCTTTAAGATAGCTTCTAAGAAATACCTTCTCGATAAGTTTATTCTTTATTTTTCATTTATGCATCTTTTGTTTTATTGTCATAATTAAGCCAAAATACAACAATTTTCTCATTATAGATGCTTATACAACAATTATAATCCCTATCGCCACAATTTGTTTCAATAAAATGGCTAAGTTGATAGTGAATTATATGTCATGGTAGCCAACAACTATACGATTATTTGGTAAAATACTAGATTCCTAGTTTCAATAAGAAGGATTTAAATCTTAAGAGATTTAAATACCAAGAATTAGCTGTCTTAGTAGTTCTATAGCCTTCATAGTAAATTATGTGCCAAAAACAATTCATCACAGGGACCCCACATAAACCTTGTGATAGATGTTGAATGATTTCTACTTCAAATAAGATGTTCTTAAAAATCTAGCTAGATAAAAAATTATAAATTTTTTTCCTTGGGCGACCAAAAAAGCATTTCAATTGGTCAAATTTTAGGAAGTCATGCTCGAAAAGTTTGATCATTGTAATGGAGAAAACAAAATGTAGTGAAGCCTTAAAAGGCATTTTAATGGAGAAAACAAAATGTAGTGGAGATTAAAAAGGTGAAAGGCTAAAATGGTATGCCATTTTTACTTTTACTATTATTTATCTCAAAATCATTGCTTCTTTGTATTTCATTTATCTTATTCCCCTTTGCATCTTATCTTGATTTTTGATAGGGTTAAGTACATATTTGCCTATATACTTTATTATTTTTCTCACATTGGTACTTAAATTTTTTTTTTCACATTGATACCTAAAAGCTTACTTCCATTATCAAGTTGGTACTTTAGATTAATCTCATTAGTCAATTTTGTTGATGTGGCATCAACATTCAATAAGATATTGACACATATAAAAAAAAGTTTAGTTAACGCTACATCATCAATGACAATCAGCATAAAAAATAAAAATAATAAAAATTTTAAAAATTCTATATTTTAAAAAAATTTAAATTCTAAAAATTTTAAAATTTTGAAAAAATTTTGAAAACTTTCAAACAATTTTCACAACAAAAGAAAATTCAAAACAATTCTAAAACATTTTTTAGAATTTTGAAAAAAATCTAAAAAGTTTTTAAAAAATTTTAAAATTTATAAAAAACTTTTAATTTAAAAAATTATAATAAACTGGAAAAAAATTTTAAATTCTAATTTTTAAAAAAATTAAATATTTGAAATTTTTTTTAATTTCTCAACAAATTTAAAAAATTCTAAAATTTTTTTGAAAAATTATAAAAAAATTTACAAAAATTATAAAACATTAAAAGTATGAAACTTTTTTATAAATTATAAATTTTATCATAATTTGAAATTTCTAAAAAATTTTGAAATTTTTTTAAAAAATCCATAAAAATTAAAATTTTAAAAACTAAAATTTCCTAAATTTAAAAAAAAATCACAAAACTTAAAAATTTGAAAATAAGAAAAATCTCAAAACTTTTAAAATTTTTTGAAATTTTAAATAATTTCAAATTTTTGAAACGTTTTTTAAAATTAAAAAAATCTAAAAAATAAAAAAAAACCTAAAATTTTAATAAAATCTAAAAATTTGAAAAAAAAATTTGAAAAATATATAAAGAATCGAAATTGTAAGATTAAAAAATATGAAAAAATTTTAGAATTTTTTTAAAAATTTTAAAGATTATTATATTTTTTCAAAATTTTTTATTTTAGTTTATTTTTTATGTTTTTTTGTTTTCTTAATTTTAACAAAATTTTAAATTTTATTAATTTTTTTATTATTTTTTAATTTTTTTGGATTTTTTTAGAATTTTGGAAATTTTGAGAAAAAAATTATGTTTCCTTAAGTTTTTTCTTTTGAATTTTTTAAAATTTTCTAGAATTTTTAGAAAATTTTAAATTTTTTAAATATTTTTAAAATTTTTAAAAGTTTCCAAAATTTTATATATTTTTTTAAAATTTTTTTAAAATTTTATAGAATTTTTCAAAAATTTTTAATTTTTTGGAATTTTCCAAAAAAATTTTGAAGTTATTTTACAATTTTTAGAATTTTTAAAAATTTGTTGGAAGTAGGAAAAACTTTTAGAATTTTTAAAATTTTTGTTTTGAATTTTAAAATTATTTTAGAATTTTTAGAATTTCTGAAAATTTCTTAAAATTTTTTTTAAAACTGTTTAAATTTTTAAATCTTTTGTTATTTTTAAAAAATTTTAAGAATTTTTTCTAAATTTTTGTTTTAGTGATAACGTGGCATTGGTGATGTGATGCTAATTGGATTTTTTATACATATATCAACATCTTATTATATATTAATATTGCGTCAGTAAAATTGACTAACAACGTTAATTTAAGATATTAACGTGATAACAAATTTAAACGTTTAGGTATTAATGTGATAGAAAAAATTTTTAAATATCAATGTGAACAAAAAAATCTAAAGTTTAGGAACAAAATGTGTATTTAACCCGAGTTGATTATCAATTCATGATTGAATTGGTAGAACCAACTAAAATTAAGATTCACATCCTTCGTCCGAAAGGATGACCTTATTAACTTAAATGGATCCAACAAGGCTCCTTACACAATATTACTGTAAACTTAGCTTTTTTATCACTTTTTGGATTGAATAGTATTTTCTTTCCTCTTCTTACTTCAATGTTTAAAGAAAGATCTAACAATATCTTGGAATGAAAACATTTGTAAAAGGTCATGTACATGTAATATTTATTATTCAATCAAATGAATAAGTGGATTCAGTCTTTGATTTATCTTTTAATTTGATATAAAGAGATATTTCATTTAACGCTCTTTCTTGATTATAATGTTTTTAATTTCAGGAGGATGAAGATAATGATTATTGTTTAATATTTCAATATTTCATTAAAATATTAGTAATCTTCTTGCTAAAACTACATTTAAGAATACAAATAATTTAAAATTTCTCCAATTTGATATGGAAAGTTTATCTGTCGTGCAAACGGAATTAATATGCAAAGATGCATCGGAAAAACCTCTTGAACAGCATGCTGAAGATCTTCATCATTTTGGAGCTGCAAATAAAAAATTGAATAAGATCACAAAATAATGCATAAGATAAATTCAATTATTATGCAAGATAAAAACACTAAGTACGAGTAATTTACCTGTATATAAGGTTGTTTCATAGTTAAGAAATGTGTATATAGATTTTTCAAAGTTTCGATGCATAATCTCGTCATATCTGAATTAGGTACATTCTGAAAATTGTTAGGTAAATATTGTAAGAACAAGCTTCGAATTTGGTTATTTACAATGTACCGCTTATGAAATTGTAACAATTCATGAACAGCAATATTCCCATTCAACATGTTTATTCCTCCATCAAAAGCTTGGATATTAGTGTTGATAGCTTGATTGGCCACCAGAAAATCATCTAAAGCTTTAATAAAAGCAATTCTAAGTTGCTCTGGCCAAAATATGGGATGCTCCAACACATCCATACTATGACGCCTGAAAAAAAAATTACAATGATTTATATTTAATAACTAAAAAAAGATTCTTAAAAAAAAAATTGATTACTTACGGTATTGATGGAGTAGGATTCATCAACAAACTAAAGAAATCATCAAATTCAAATTTTGCAACATCACGAATTCCACACTTTCCATTAAAATCTGCTAGCATATTTTTAAAATCTAAGCAATCTTCAAAATAACTATTATTGCCTGTTATCACACACAAAAAAAATGTAAGAAATTCTTCCGATTAAATAATATTATTAATTATATATATTTAAAAGTGTAATACCTCGAATAATAAATTTCGTAAATCATGCCTCACGATTTCCGGGCATTATATAAATATTGCCAGTGTTCAATACACCTCGAATTGATGTATTTAGGAGAGCTCCAATCGATTTAAAGATATCCCTATACAAAATGAACAAAAATCATCATAATATATTAAGAACACATTTATTTATCCATTTATTATAGTCCTTTTTATAACAATCTAAACTTCATATATGATATAAATATTTATATCAATATTCCAAAATCAAAATATAAAATAATAAATGTGTTTATATTTTGAAACAAAATTTTTATTGACATTATACAATAAGTAATTAAATTCTAAAAAAAGGTAATTTTTTTAACCAAAAATAATTTATTTTAAAAAATAAATATTATGACTAACCTTAAAATTTTAGCATACGTATCTGATGCCCGAAAGAAAATATGCTTGTTTTTAACCTTTGGACGATCAAAAAGGGCAATTTGTTTCCTCATTTTTGTTAATGATGTCCCTAACTTTTCAACGAGTAAATAATGATCATTATTGTATTGGAACGGCGGAAGAACATTTGGGAAGATCGGATGAGCTTGCGTAATCAAAGTACTATAAATGACCATTGCTTCTGCACTGTCATATTTATTTATGCTATACTTATCTGGATTAAGTCCTACAGATAGTAAATACTCCACAAAATTTTGATCAACGCCAGAACCAGCCATTGAAAATCCTAAAACAAAAAATATTATTAGACGAAAAGTAATACATATTTAAATGAGAACAATAAAAGGTTACAATTCTAAATAAAGCTTGCAATTAAAAAGTGAAAACAATAAATGACTTCATGCAAAATGGCAATACTGGCTACTTTGATAAAATCTTCTTTTAAAAACAGATAAAATAAATTAAACAAAATATTAGTTTATTCGGATAATAAACGACGAGAGGAGCTTTCAGTCTAATCCTTTCATATTATATCAAAGATTTCATTGGAATGATTTCATCTTTTTTTTTCAATTCTTTTTCTCTTTATATTTTCAATTTTGAAGTCATTATTATGTCTTTATTGATCTTATCAAATCCTGCCACTTATTAAGAGGTCAAAGAATTATTTACGGTTTTTAAAGCACATGCAAAGTTATTTTTAAAGAGTTTTATTCCTAACGTTTCTAATTTTACTTCCTTTACTAAAACACTTCTAAATTTTATTCCAAAATATAAGTACTTTCACTAAAATTATATATTACGTAAACATTTTGTTTCACATCTGCCTCATCTTCCCTCACTTGTCTCCCGCTGCAAGCCTACAACTATATTATATTTATTTAAATTTTTTAGAAAAAAATTCTCAAAACACTCTCCAACTTTTTCTCTTCTTGGTTGATCTCTTTCACTTATAAGAAACCCACCATTTTGTTCCTAACCGTATTGCTTTACCGTTTCATTTACTTTGACATTATTTATAAATATTTATTTCCAACGTCATATCAATAAAATGAAGAGATAAAAAATAAAGATGGCGCCATTATGCAGCAATCTGATAAGAATGAAGGCAGGAAGAATAAGAGAGCTGATGAAGCCAAGGAAATAGACAGGACAAATAATGGAGGAGAATTAGCGGTGTTTTACTTTGGAGAATTTGTAGGGTCGAGAAAAACGGCCGCTATGAGGTCCGCCGATGAGCAGGTTTATAGCTAGATCCAGATTATTTAAGGGTTTGATCCAAATCAAAGGCTGCGGCAGTGACAGATTTTCATGTTGGTCGTTTCTTACATTTTTACCAGTAAACTATAAAGTACTTGTAAAAATATGGATTTGTTATCAAAGCAGTTAATTAACACCGCTTGAAAAGACAGATTTCCAAAGTTACTTTGCATTTTTTTTCTTATAGAGATATGAAACAACGAGAGTGATAAGATATAAAAAATATGAATGACAATGCAGCATAAAATATCCTATTTAGAGATATAAAATTATAAGTTCCTTTATCGAAGAATAAAGATTTTATTTTATATAAAAAAACTCCATTTGGTAACATGATAAGCGTTTAAGAGTTTGAACTCCACTTAGTACTTCAATCTTTTAAATGAGTTTGCTTAATCAAAGTTCAGTTTGCGTTTGCATCCCATATATTCTAACGAAAAATAATAATAAACAAACATCAAATCCAACAATGTACACAAACAATCTTTTAACACAAACAAAAAAACCACATTTAATTTTTTTTTTTTTTACTCAGATTATTTCACCTTTTAAATTAAGTTTCCATTTGGTGTATAATAAATAATTGATATAACATCTACTTAATATAATAAAAAACAATTCTCACATCACGGCACTTTTCAAACAAAACTAATTCAAATTAACTCTTTAGAGAAGATAAAAATAAAAAAGTCTATATTACAAGATAACATAAGCTTACACTTCAATGAAATATGTGCTCTTAATATCAATACCTGCAATCAAAAAACCCAAATCAAAATTAGTAAGATAACTGAGAGATTGAAACATGATCAAATCTAACAAAAATTGAAAAATAATGCCTTCTACTTTAATAAATATCAGCTTTATTTCATGATTCAAGATATTTAAGTTTACATGGTAGAACTTAACACTTAACTCTTCCTCACTGAAGGGTGCAATACAGAAAGGTCCAATGGGATGGAGAGCCAAAGTAACAAGGAGGAGGTTTAAGGGATGATTCTTGGAGCACTGGTAGAAGAACAGAAATTGCAGACTCTAGATGATTGAGGGAAGGGCGGCGTAGGAAGCTAAGAGGCAGAGAGCATGCAAGAATATATTTCAATCACACATATATAAATAAAATTTAGACACTGCTTCATTATAAAAAAAAAATATTTTGTCATTGCTTAATAAAGCAAAATGAAGTAAATAGTATCTTCTGTAAAAGATAATTACTTTTCCAAAACCTTGCCTTGTTTGATATCTTCCATCCATCCACGTTTGATGCAAAGACCCGTACTTCTTCTGACTTCCATCAGCCATCACATGCAACTTGTCATAAACCTCTTTAGAAAATATCAATGAAGATTTTATATTATTTCCATTTCTACAATAAGAGAATGGAAACCACCATTTAAACTCCACTTACTCTAAGAAAACGGTGAACAACAAGAAGAGCATATGGATGAAATAGGATTTATGATAATTAAAGGTAGCTTCCCCAAGTGACCCTATAGGAAAGCAAAGTAAAGTAAGGAAAACTTGAAAGCTAACCCAAAATATATAAAATCAAAAATACATGCGAGAAATTTGAAATAACCAATATAGGAGGAGGTTGTGGCCATAATGACTTGGCATATGATTAGTCAGTGAACTAAGTCTGTTAATTAGGAGTACACTAAGAAATGCATAAACCAACTTTCACCCGATTCCTTGTTTCTTCATGTATGCATTGATCCATCTTGGTAGCAACACGGAAATTATAAATCCTAAACTAATTTTCATCCACCACCTAAGACTAATTGTTTTGCTTTTCAATTATTATTATGAAATATAACACCTAATTATTAGGTAGAAAATTTATAATCCGATTAGATGAAAATCTTAACTTATAACCATTCCCACTTTTCTTGTTTGCCTTTCAACGACAAGAAAGTCGCAGAAACTATTATAACTTAAACTAAAAAAAGCTTAAAAAACATTATTTATTTATACATCATTAAGCTAAATGACTTTGTAAAGAAGAAGAAGAGACGGAATCTTTCCTTACTCTTTGGTAATAAAGGTCAAATATTGGAAATTGATTAAGAAAAGAAAGAAGATGGGCATGCTTAGCAATACAAAGAGCAAACTTGAAGCTTGAGAAGATAAGCCGACCTTCTTTTTGAAGATAGGTTCCCAAGCTGACCTGAAATATAGTAAGCATCATCATAGCAATTTTTGAACGGTAGGTCCCGGAGCGACCTTAAATAACGAGCATCATTATAGTTCCATAAAACTGTTAACATATTCTACTAGAAAAACTTAGCTCAGCATATACAGAAAAGATGCAAGGGAAACTTATAGCTCATCCAAAACTGATTTGAATAAAAACTACATACAGTAAATTAGAAATATCAAGTAGAAGAAGGATCATGACAAAGTTGTAAGCGAGAGGACAGAAGACTCCAAGATGCCTAAACTTCAAAACCCTTTTACACACCACCTAAATCTGATTGTTCTGCTTTTCTTCGATTAAATTGAAAAACATAATTGACCCAGACATGCGAGAATATTTTTAAAAAGACACATTGCTTGATAAAATTCAAGCAAAGCTGCTTCGCAAAAATCTGATAGATCTACTATCTGTTGTACGAGAATTATTTTCTTTCTATACTTTTTTTCTAATAACTACATTGAAAAAAGCATTAAATTATTCAAGATGACAAGATGACATTGCTATAATAAAGAAAAGAGATAAGTACCAAAAAATTTAATTTTTCAAAACCTTACCAAGTAGTGTTCGCTGTAGTAGTGTTCGCCGTATTCTGTCCATCAATTCACATTTAATGAAAGACCCGTACTCCTCTGTCTTGACCTCGCACATTATTACTTGATTTGTTCAACTATATCACATGTAACATGTCAGAAACCTCTTGGAACATATTAATGAAATTTTTATATTATTTTTTTTTCGATAGTTAGAGAATATAATCCAATCGATGTAGCTCTTATGATATTAAGAGAACGATGACCAACAAAGAGAGCAAAGCAATAAAAATAAGACTCATGACGAGTACTGGTAACAATCCAAGCTGATCCTTAAATAAAACGTATAATCATAGGTTTAAGACATGAGTAAAATATTCGAGACTTTCTTGAAAAATGAGTTATTCAAGATAACAAGATGACATTGCTATAATAAACAAAGAGATAAGTGCTAAAAAATTTAATTTTTCAAAACCTTACCAAGTAGTGTTCGCCGTATTCTGTCCATCAATTCACATTTAATGAAAGACCCGTACTCCTCTGTCTTGACCTCGCACATTATTACCTGATTTGTTCAACTATATCACATGCAACATGTCAGAAACCTCTTGAAAAATATTAATAAAGTTTTATATTATTTCTTTTTCGATAGTTAGAGAATAGAATCCAATCGTTGTAGTTCTTATGATATTAAGAGAACGATGACCAACAAAGAGAGCAAAACAATGAAAATAAAACTCATGACGAGTACTGATAACGCTCTAAGCTGACCCTTAAATAAAAAATATAATCATAGGTTTAAGACATGACCAAGATATTCAAGACTTTCTTGAAAAAAGCATTGAATTATTCTGTCCATCAATTCACGTTTAATGAAAGACTCGTACTCCTTTGTCTTGACTTCGCACATTATTATTACTTGATTTGTTCAATTATATCATATGCAACGTGTCATAAACCTCTTGGTAAGGCTTTGAAAAATTAAATTTTTTTGCACTTATCTCTTTGCTTTATTATAGCAATGTCATCTTGAATAACTCAATGCTTTTTTCAAGAAAGTCTTGAATATCTTGATCATGTCTTAAACCTATGATTATACTTTTTATTTAAGGGTCAGCTTGGAGCATTACCAGTACTCGTCATGAGTCTTATTTTCATTGCTTTGCTCTCTTTGTTGGTCATCATTCTCTTAATATCATAAAAGCTACAACGATTAGATTCTATTCTCTAACTATCAAAAAAGAAATAATATAAAAACTTCATTAATATGTTCCAAGAGATTTTTAACACGTTGCATGTGATGTAGCTGAACAAATCAGGTAATAATAATGTGCGAGGTCCAGACAGAGGAGTACGAATCTTTCATTAAATGTGAATTGATGGACAGAATACGACGAACACTACTTGAAACATATTAATGAAGTTTTTATATTATTTCTTTTTCGATAGTTAGAGAATAGAATCCAACCGTTGTAGCTCTTATGATATTAAGAGAACGATGACCAACAAAGAGAGCAAAGCAATGAAAATAAGACTCATGATGAGTACTGGTAATGCTCCAAGCTGACCCTTAAATAAAAAGTATAATCATAAGTTTAAGACATGATCAAGATATTCAAGACTTTCTTGAAAAAAGCATTGAGTTATTCAAGATGACAAGATGACATTGCTATAATAAAGCAAAGAGATAAGTACCAAAAAATTTAATTTTTCAAAACCTTACCAAGTAGTGTTCGCCGTCAATTCACGTTTAATGAAAGACCCGTACTCCTCTATCTTGACTTCGCACATTATTACCTGATTTGTTCAGTTATATCACATGCAACATGTCAAAAACCTCTTGAAACATATTAATGAAGTTTTTATATTATTTCTTTTTCGATAGTTAAAGAATAAAATCCAACCGTTGTAGCTCTTATGATATTAAGAAAACGATGAGCAAAAAAGAAAGCAAAGCAATAAAAATAAGACTCATGACGAGTACTGGTAACGTTCCAGCTGACCCTTAAATAAAAAGTATAATCATAGGTTTAAAACATGAGTAAGATATTCAAAACTTTCTTATGTCAAAGCAAAGCAAAGTTCAACATGCCACGAGAGATTGAAAGCCAACCCAAAATAAACTGAACCGAAACTTTATGCAAGAATTTAAAATATCAAAGGAGACTTGGGCATAATGACTGTGCAGATGATTAAGCTAAGAGACTAGCTAGGGTTGTGAATAAAAACTCCTAATACTGGAAAAAAATTAGCTAAACACACACAAAAAAGATACAAATAAAGTTAAAAGCCCATCCAAAACTGAAATGAATGAAAATTATATACAGTAAATTATAAATATCAGGCATGAGAATCACGACAAAACCGTGGGTGTCAGAACTTAATTCTAAAATGCGTAAATTTCTAAACCCTTTTTTCTCACCACCTAGTGCTTATTGTTCTGCTTATGCAATTGAAACAATTGAAACCAGCTAAATTGTGAAAGAAAAATTTTACAGGCCCCATGAGAAAATTAATCTTCATTATCTAGTCATCTCATTTTTCTTCTTCTAGCAGTATGTTTATCTTCCATTATAATTCAACGCAGCAGCATGCACATAGACAATAATAGACCGTCCATAAATTTTGGCTAGCATGCACGAACCGAACGGTACTTCCTAGCACTGCCGAACTCCTGAAACCGTTCACAGTTCACGTGAGTCATGGCTGGAGCACCATTTAACAGGGAAGGCTTGACGTATGGGACGTAGCAATCCTATGTATTCACATAGGATTTCACCACTCCGTTTGGATGGCTTATAGTAAACCAGAATATGAGACGGACAAAACATGCTCATTTCATTTTCTTCATAGTAAAAATCACTAAGAGCACTTCTTAGGATCAACTTATTCTCTTCTGCCCAAAAAGACAGGCACCTGCCAGTGAACTCAGTTATAAGCGATGAAAGTGTAAGGATTTAATGGGACCCCCTCCTCTTTCTTTGTTTGAGGAAGGTTGCGTGAATTCTTGATTACTATAATATTTGTTGATATAAATATAAATTACAAGAAATAAATATTTTTTAATGATACTTTTAAAAAATGAATTCGATTATTCGTAGTATCTACAGATATTTTCAAAGTAAGAAGAAAAAAAAGGGAATTACTCAATTTATTTTTCTCATATGCTAACATGATAAAGGGTAAGAAAAAAATTTTAAAAATTATAAATTAATTTAAAATTATATTATTTAATTCAATTTAAATTAATTTTTTATATAATTCAAATTAAATTTAAATATTAAATGTATAAATTAAATTAAGATTAAATTTTAAATCGAGGTGTAAAAAAAATAAATAATAAATCAAATCAAATTATATATTTTTATATTTTTTAAATTTTTTATAAAATAAAATAATTATTTTATATACAAATATATTAAAATTTTTATTAAAATAATATATAAAAATAGAAAAAAAAATTAAATTTAAAAATAAAAAATCAAATTAAATCGATAAATTTTAATTTAAATCAAATCAATTTAAAAAAATAATTTAAATTTTATAATAATAAACATAATTTTAAAAAATTAATTCGATTGAATCTAAACTATTATTACACTTATTAAACGCCCATAGTACGACCGCCACTCTGCTTGTAACTGGAATAAAAGAGCATTTCGGGCCAGAAAACAGAGACTTACTGGGTTTGCACACCTGTGTCGACTCTCAATGCAAAGGCCGAAAGGTCTAGTGCAAACTGTTGGTTTTTGAATTTTGATATAATCATAATATATATATATATATATTGGTTTTTGAATTTTGATATAATCATAATATATATATAATATTACTAAAGAATATATTTAAGAGTAATCAAAAGAGAACAACTTATTACATTTATTTAAGTCTTTCAATTTATAAAGATTCGTCTTAATTTAAGTAGGAAAAAATATATCTCATAATTCACTTTCTTAAAAATTAAATCTTTCAGCTATAAAAATCATATGACGTGGAAATCAATATGCTCATAATTTTAAATAAATAAAACTTGTGGTTTACCATTTTTTTCTTTTTTTT